CCTTTTATCATTCGAGTTGCCCTTTTCTGCACTTTTTCCAAAGCTATAATATCCTTTTTAAGGTGTGGTGACCAGAATTGCACACAGTATTCCAAATAAGGTCGCACCATTGATTTATATAGGGGCATTATGATATTGGCTGATCTGTTTTCAATACCCTTCCTAATAATCCCCAGCATAGCATTGGCCTTCTTTATTGCAGTCACACACTGTCTCGACATTTTCAGTGAGTTATCTACTACAACTCCAAGATCTCTCTCTTGATCTGTCTCTGCCAGTTCAGACCCCATCAATGTGTATTTATATTTAGGATTTTTGGCTCCAATGTGCATCACCTTGCACTTGGCCACATTGAACCCCATTTGCCATGTTGACGCCCACTTGCCCATCTTTGACAGATCCCTTTGGAGTGCCTCACAATCCTCACTGGTTTTCACCACCCTGAACAACTTTGTATCATCCGCAAATTTAGCCACTTCACTGCTTACTCCCAACTCCAAATCATTAATGAACAAGTTAAAAAGCAGTGGACCAAGTACTGATCCCTGTGGTACCCCACTGCTTACCCCCCTCCACTGGGAGAACTGCCCATTTATACTCACTCTCTGTTTTCTATTAATTAGCCAGTTTTTGATCCATAAAAGGACTTGTCCTTTTATCCCATGATTTTTGAGCTTGCTTAGGAGCCTTTGATGAGGAACTTTATCAAAAGCTTTCTGGAAGTCAAGGTAAACAATATCTATTGGATCCCCCTTGTCCACATGTTTGTTCACCCCCTCAAAGAACATTAACAGGTTAGTGAGACAAGATCTTCCCTTACAGAACCCATGTTGAGTCTGCCTCAATAGGTTTTGTTCATCTATGTGCCTACTAATTCTTTCCTTAATAATGGTTTCCACCAATTTACCCGGTATCGACGTCAGACTGACTGGCCTGTAATTTCCCGGATCTCCTCTGGAACCCTTTTTAAAGATGGGAGTGACTTTAGCTACCTTCCAGTCCTCAGGAATGGAGGCAGATTTTAAGGAAAGATTGCATATTTTGTCAGGAGATCCAGAAGTTCACATCTGAGTTCTTTCAGAACTCTCGGATGTATGCCATCTGGGCCTGGTGATTTATCAGTTTTCAAGTTGTCTATCAGTTTTAGGACCTCCTCTCTCGTCACCTCAATCTGGCTCAGGTCTTTCAACACCCCTCCCAAAATCAGCGGTTCTGGAGTGGGCAAGCACTTCTCATCTTCCACAGTGAAGACAGAGGCAAAAAATGCATTTAGCTTCTCAGCCATTTCCCTATCATCCTTCAGTACTCCTTTTACCCCTTGGTCATCCAAGGGCCCCACTGCCTCCCTGGCTGGTTTCCTGCTCCTAATGTATTTGAAGAAAGTTTTATTGTTGGTTTTTACGTTTTTTTGCTATATGCTCCTCATATTCCCTTTTTGCCTGCCTGACCACAGATTTGCATTTTATTTGCCATAGCCTGTGTTCCGTTTTTATCAGCCTCACTGTGACTAGCTTTCCATTGCTTAAAGGAATCCTTTTTACCTTATACAGCTTCCCTTACTTTGTTTGTTAACCATGCAGGCTTTTTCCTATACCTGTTTGTGCCTTTCCTAACCTGCGGAATAGATCTGTTAATTTCCTCCTTTGCTTGCCCCCAATATTCCTCCAGATCTTTCCAAGACACTTTAGTAAAGGCCATGTTGTAAGTGGAGTCTCCCCTTTCAGCAGCCCCAGAAATCAACTTAAAAGGTCTGAGTTGTGCTAATTTGGAGCATGCAAACTAGAAGAGTCAAGATCCTTAGCAGCAACTTCAGTAGGTGATAGATTGCCAAACGTTGCCAGGTTTTTGTTGCCCTTACACTAAGAGTAGCATAATTCTGTGTCTGGTGTGAAGACAGATTTGCTTCACATGGGTTTGCATAAATTAATTCCTCTTTTGCATGCCACCAAGCAACAGCTCCTGCCCATTGGAATACAAGCGTAGTATCGATTATGCATGGCCGGTGCTCTTGCAGTATCAAGTTTACAGCATGTATCATTCATGGCTGGCCTCGTGCACCACAATGGGCCATGATTTTTGGTGCTGCTGCTGAGGGGCTAGACTGTCTTCCCCTAACAGGCAGAGATTAATGGCTTTCCTAATACAAACCAGAAACTGGAAATGTGTTAATCTTGTACTTCTCTCTATGTACATTTTCACACAGCATCCAAACCCCGCCTGAACCTCAAAGCAGTCTTCCATTGGTGGTAACCTAGTCAGTAGGTGTGGACATCAGCGTCTCCTAAAGAATTCCACATCACATTTTTAAAAAATGTTTTAAAACCATAATGCAGAAGGAAAACTGATGCACGACCAACTTCTCACCCCACATCCGTGCATTAGAAATTCAGCTTTGCCTTTCCATCTTCACTTAAGCTTCTTTGTCACCTGAAAACTGGAAACTTAACAGTTATCATCTTCTGCCTAGGTTGTGTAACTGTTACATTTGAAAGTTATCATGAGAGGGCTTGGTGTGATGTGGTCCAACTTAGCAAGGAATAGTGAACAGTATATTTAAAATAGGATAAGATCTATGGATCATTAATTTAAGATTTCCAGGGGAGGTGGAATAGGTTCTATTTAGTTTAGAACTATTTATTGGTTAGTTCTAAGGTAAATATTGTTGATTGCTATGTTCGATATGTTCATATACAAAGTAAGAGTTTCCCAAACATACATTTCTGCACTTCTGCAGTACAACAGGAAACATGATAGTCATCAAAATTATTCATCTTGGAAACATTATTGAAGTTCAAAATCCAGGCATCTACAACAATGAGGCAGGCCACATTAAAAACATAGCCTGGAACAGCCCAGCTGTATCAGACTACCCACGCGCATCCTGTTTCTCATAACCATTAGATGACCTGTAGGCTTACCAGCAACCATGATCAAAGGTATACTTGCCCCTGAACAAGGAAATTCCACACATCAGGAGAACCATCGATTGACTGATTTCTCCATGAATTTGCCTTATCTCCTTTTTAGAGGTGTTTCAAACTAGCAGCCACAAGCCAGCACATACAAGTGTTTCCAGGTGCAGAATTATTCTTTCTTTATATACCGGAGGTATTGTGCCTGGCTTAAAAAAAAAAAGCAATGCTACACAGACATCCTAATCAAAGGGATATATTTTCACAAAACAACAACTTTTATATACAAAAGCTCAACCCAAATAAAAAATTGCTTTCTAACCAAATGCAATGCAAAAGTTCAGTCAGCTGTGCTGGCCCTGGTTAGAACTTGGCTAATGTTAGAAAGGCAAATCAAATGTTATCTACACACAAGCTGTTGCCAGTTTCATTAAATGCATGACACAGTTTTTCCCATCTAGCACACCTAATGTCCCCAAAATAATAGAACGCACACATATTTGACTTCATGTAATTTGTACATCAGGCAATACTGATCCTTCATTACCAGTTTTCTAATACATATCAAATTTGCACAGGACATCTTTTGCAGAGGCTGCCTCTGTGGTGCTCAACAGGAGCAAAGAAAGGGGAGAAGATGACCACCAATGGAGTCCAAAAGCTTCTTTGCTTCAAGGCACGGGTGACCCTGAGGAGGATCCACCTCTGAAACAAGTTAATTAAAGAGCAGAGAGCCACAGCTAATACACACCTCTCATTTACACACAAATACCACAACATGAGACATGCCAACCGACATGCGGCCATCATTCTTTTCCACAATGTTCTCAGATAGTTTTGCTGAAAAGGAAAAGCAGTGCACTCTAAAAGACATGGGATTGGATCCTACCAGCTCTTCTGCTCTCTTGCCCCATCCCACTCCTCCCTGCAGCTCTCATCCTACAATGGTGTGTTCCAGGATGCCCAGCATAGCCTTTTTGGTGGCTTCTTACCTAAACAATTGTGCTTATTTTTCCAATTAGTCTCTATAACATAGGTTCTTCACCTGGGGTCCACAGATCCCCAAAGGGCCTGTGGATAGATTCCAGGGGGTCTGTGAACTTAAGAGAGGGGAAAAAATTACATCTTTATTTTCACTAACCTCTAATGGAAACTTAGCATTTCCTTCCATTATGAATGTAGGTGACAAAACACAGTTGTATTAGCAGCACCTGTGGCTGTCACCAATAGTAAACACAGATATTTTCATACCCCATTATGGCATCCTGAAATATCATTTATGCTCATCTCTACTTTGAAAGGGTCCATAGGCTTCACCACACTGCCGAAGAGGTCCATGGCACAAAGAAGGTTAAGAACCCCTGGCTCTACAGCAATGAGGGCTAGAAACTTGAAAGACAAGACAGAACAATAATTTGTTTGCCACACAAAGTTGGGCTAAGTGTACAACTTTCCACTGTTCAGGTCACCTCGCTCTCCCCTTCTCTCAGGAGCCCAAAACTGAGACCAAGAATGTCACATGTATACTTCCAAAGCATGGACTTTTAACCTGAAACACCCCCCCCCCCAAAGTTGGAAGGGTAATTCCAATTTTTGCCATCCCTTTCCCCACACATTACAAACCTCCTCTAGTCACCCTGATTTCTTCCTGGCCACCTCCCTCACCTTTGCACTCCTAACAATGGAAAAGACGCAGGAGAGGGAAGGTGGAAAAGTTGCTATTCCTCTTGCCAAGCTCCACTCTACTTTGGATCCAAGCCTTAACAAATGACTAACTGCTGAGAAAATGAACAAGTAAACAAAATAAGTGGGAAATGGAAGCAGAGAGAGGATCTAATGTGAACCAGATGAGAGATGTGGGTTTTTCACAGCACCCTTTTGTAAAATATCCTCAATTACAAAGCACTGTGGGATCACCAAAAGGAAAACTTGACAAGGCACTTTTCAGTTCCTTTTATTTTAAAGAACAGAACATCTATTATGTATTCGTCCAAGCCCTGACCACATATCAGTTCATTCTCTTACCTTCTTCCTCCCTACCAAGACACACATGGATGTAGTGCAGAACCTCATGTGATAGGTGTCATGTTTTTTGTCCTGCCTTCCTTAGGGTTCCATTGAAAGGGGAAATGTGCAACACAGCCCTATGGTGGTACGGAAAGATGTCCTGTCATTACCCCTGTTTTATGAGCAGAATATTCTGTAACCTACCTATTTAGTTCTGTCAATATACCTGGTCAATTTTTTTTCACAATTTTATATCTTGCACATATTATCAGGAGGTTTTTGACCTGCTCACAAGCATACGTCAAAGAACTGTATGGAACATACTTTCAGTAAAAAGGAAATGGTGCTGTCTAGACAGAAACCTGGCAAAAGCCACATTATTACTGATTATAAATGCTTGAATAGCATGTCAGTGCATTACTTACAGATGTGTGTAATGGAGTTTACCATATTCATATTCTGCCCAACCCCAAACAAGCACCCTTGCCCTTTCTCCCATTTCCCAGAAGGACACACCCTTAAACTAGCTATGCTGGAAATTTCTAGAGCCTAGCATCATTCCACCTTTCCTCAGATGTTCTGGATTGACAATGAACGTCAGCAGCACCCAACAATGTGACCTGTTTGGGACACCAGGGAAATTAAAGAACATGTGAAGGACTACCCTATATGCCTGCAAAAGTAGTCCAAATATTATAAGACCACCACCATGATGTGAAAGCAGGCCTGCAATTACAGAAACACTTGGCTTGTTAAATAAAGAGAACACAAAACGACTGAACATGCTGTGCTTGCTGCCAAGGGCCTGCTTCGGTTGATAAGGCAATGCACAGGGCAACGGCCCTTGCAGAATTCCAGATAATTTTGCCAATTAAATGGCAGCTGGAAAGTCTTGTTACAAGCTCATTCCACCAGCCTTCATTTCCTCAAGAGGATGCCACCTCAAAGCTATGTACAAGCATCAAAGCAGTAACCTATGTACTAAAAACTAAGGGGCAAAAAAGTGATGCTCAACAGGATCTCACGTTTATTATTGAGAAGTGATTAATGGTGAAAGAAAGGCAATGCCCATTCCTCATTGGCTTAACAAGAAAACTGAAGAAACATTCACTACACAGTTACAATATTTTTCTTCCAAAATTAATTTTCCTGTAAACAAACAAGGTTTTTTGTTTTTTTTTACCACTGTTCTTTTTAGCCTTCAAATGAAATCAATCCAGACTTAATCTGTAATCCATATAATGCACAAGAACAGAACATTTCTTAGGACTTCTTTGCACTTTGCATTTGACTTTTTTGAGTGACAGAGGGTCAGAGAAAATGAAGCATTCCCTCCGAGACAGACCTGTCGACAAATTCCATCCAAATCTTCTAGGCATACGAAAAAAACTCAAATTCATCGTAAAATTCTTCTTCCAGTCTGTGGGGGAAGGGGAAAGTTATTCATTCCACGTCCTATGGTGGATGTCCAAAAGAAAGTCACAACTCGGTGTTCCAAGTGCAAATGCCAAAAACAAAACAAAAAAACAACCACCAAGGGGAAGATGGGTTCAAAAAGGTTTAAGGAAAAGGGGGAAGCGGCAGGTTTAAAAATTAGAGAAAAAAAGGCATATGCCACTTACGGACTTTAAAATCCGATTAACATAGTAAAAAGACAAAAAAACCAAAGCGTATGCTCTGAAATCACAATCAAAGCCAAAAAGGGGACAGTTTTCACCTATACTCTACCTAGAAGGGTTTTTTGTTGTTTTTTTCTTTGTTTTTTAAGTCCTATGTATCTTGTGAAATGCCAATACTTTTTTATTTAAACTGAAAGTTTTTGAGAGTCTTTTTGAAGTCAATGAAACAAGTCCTAATTCTCTTGGTGTAGTTTCCCTACTCAAGTTGCAACATCTGCTGCAGTCTCTGTGGAAGGGACCGTTGTTCTACTTCACACGGCCTTGGCGTTCCTACAGCAGAGAGGGAAGAAAAAGAGACGGTTAAAGGAATGTCAGTGTGGGAAGCTTTGCAATATGTTTCTTACTGTTATATACTTCAAGGGCTTCTGATGATAGCCATTCTTTTTTAAAATTTTAACAACATCTTTAAAAATATACAACGATATAGAAAAATATAATATAATAAAGATTACCAGCTTTCTCTCTGTATACACACATACAAGAATACACAATATATCAACTGTAACCCCAACAACTCAACAGATAACACAGGAACAGCCTTTCACAATTCATTACAGCAGATTAATATGTGGACTGCAAAAACAAAGATGTCCATAAAAAACCTACCACTTCTTTCTTTACTCCCCATATCACCCTAGAAAAAAATCAAGCCATGAAGATTGGGACTTCTCAGAAGTATCTCCAGCTCATTCAAGAAAGAAACAATAGGAAACCACAATGCTACAAACCTCTGTTGGTAAATTCCAAAATTAAGTACGGAAAGTTGTTGAGATATTTTTCCCAGGAAAAAAATGTTCCCACAACTTTTGTCCCCATTCCAGTATAGCTGGTCTTTCCAATGAGTCGCCAGATTGAGTCTCACGGTCGCCAGCAACAATTCCACTAATTCCTTTTTAACCTTCTCTTTGTTAGTCGTCGGGTACCAACTTTCTAGAAAAAATATTTCTGGTTGAAAAAGTAAATCTATTCCTGAAATAATTTTAATCTGATAAGCAATTTGTTCCTAGTAATGTTGGACTTTTGAACAAGTCCACCAACAATGTAAAAAATCTGCCATCTCCTCACATTTTTTCCAACATTTTGCTGATGTGGCGAATCCCGTCCTTTTTAGCTTCCTAGGGTATAGTACCATCGTGTGATCATTTTATAACGTTGGTATTTTATGGATACAATCTTTGATGTATTACTACAATTATTCCATATATGTTCCCAATCCTGATCTGTCAGTCTGCCTCCGGAATCTCTTCCCCATTGCTTCTGATATAAAACTTTTTTTTGTGTGGCGAATGTTAAGAGTATAGTATACAATTTAGAAAAAACTCCTTTCGTATTCTCCTGAGGTTTCTTCAGAAAAACTTCAAAGTCTGTAAGAGGACATTCTAAAGCCTCTTTAATATGTTTAGACTGTATCAGACTTTGCACCTGTAAATACCTAAACCAGTTCATTTTATGTCCAGTTCTTTTCTCTATTTCATGTTGTTGTTTTTAAGAATAGACCTTTTGGTACTATCAAGTATAACGTATCTAGCCCTGCTTGCTCCCAAATTACAAAATTCTGGTTGGCTTGAGCTGGAGGGAACTAATCTTGATTAATTATTGTAGACAATTTAGATATACCTGGCAAAAGAGATTGTCTATATTTATGCCAGATTTTAATCCCTAATTTGGTGTACTCACTTAAATTACTTTTTCTATTTGATGTGGTCTTTTTATTCCAAAAGTATACCCTCAACTTGTTGGGCTTCATATAATATTCCTCAATTTGTGCCCAATTTGGTTGTTTTTCCGAAGTTAATGCCCTTGAGAGGCTAGATTGAATGCCTCATAATACACTTCAAGAGATCTGGGGTCTTCTGATTGAATCAAAATTGATCCTATGAGCATTTTGCTCCCAAATAAAATTTTTTAATGCTGATTGCCAAACCTTTATCTCTTGATTTGTTAATGCAATGGGTATGGTTTGAAATAAGAAGACAAACCGAGGCAAAATAAAACTTTTAACTAAATGCAATCTATCTGCCCATGTCAGGCCTACTTTACTCCATTTCTGTATTTGTTCTTTTCCTATAAGTACTTTCATAATCATGATGTTTCAACTTATCAAGACTCGTTGGATTTTGAACCTGTAAAGATCTCACTTTTTCTTTTACCCAGGTGTATGGGAAACTTAGCTTCAACTCTTTTCAAACTGAAGGTAAAATTTTTATAGGATATATCATTGACTTGTTCTGATTGACTCTCAGCCCTGATAACGGAGGCATATTTATTGATGTAATCCAGGAAGTGAGGATCCAAAAGATAAAGGGTCAAATCATCTGCATATAAACAATTTATGCTCCACCTTCTCCTATTCTAATCCCCCTAATGTTGATGTTCTGTCTAATTTGCTCTGCTCTGCTTCATCGCCATAGCAAACAGCAATGGAGACATAGGACATCCTTGTCTCATTCCCCTATTTATAGAATCCCCCCCCAAAAATACATTGTTTACTTTTATTACAGTAACTGAATTTTTATACCAAGCATTTACTGTGGTCCTCATTCTTTGCTCAAACCCATTTCTTTTATCAGTTCTTTAAGAAAGTCTACTCCCAAGCTATCAAAGGCTTTTCCTATGTTTTCCTTTGTATGATTATTATCAACAGGGGTCACTTCGTAGAAAAAGAGGTGCAGGAGGTCATTTGCATAATTCATTTGCATATGCCACACCCCCTGACACACGGCAGGCATGCAAGCATGCCTGGGTTCCCTGCTTGATCAGGCAGGCAACCCAGGCATGTTTAGAATGCCTTTCTCTCCCTTCCCCATCTGGGGAAGGGAAAGAAGGGCATTTATATCCCCCACCCTTACCTGAGTTTCTCCGCAAAAGCGGAGAGGCTCAGGGAAAAGGGGGTTATGCCTGCCTGCCTCCCCTCGCCTTCTCCAGTGAGCCCGCCGCAGCAGACTGAGGGCAGGGCAGGGAGGCAGTCATGCCTGGGTTCCCTGCCCAATGTTCTCCAGGTGCCCTGCTTTAACAAAAAGCAAATACTTCTTGTACCAAACCAGACTGTCTTGCAAAAAAGAACCACACTGCCTGCATACACTATGACTTCTAATACCAATCAAATATATTACAATGCACATTACCCAGCATTCTTCTCCCCTTGCTTTCATATACTGCTGTCAATGTGGAGTTTGTAAAACAAGTTCCTATAGCTCTACAAGCTTGCTCATTGTAGAAACAATTTAGCTGGAAAATAATTCATGTTATTAATATGAAAAAGAGCAAATAAATGACTGCATACTACTTGGTATTCAAAAAGTGTTATCTGTTAGCAAAAAAGCTAATGTGCATAGGCAAATGCTCAACATTTGCATCCTCAAGGAAGGACTGTACACATTCAACCTAGTACACTGGCTCCAGTAAAACAATACCTTATTTTTGATTCTTCCTGCACTACAAAAACCTGTAATACATCATAGGTCTCCCTTGCGCGAAAGCCCATCGAATCTGACTCTAGGGGGAGGTGCTCATCTCCGTTTCCAAGCCGAAGAGCCAGCAATGTCCGAAGACTTCTCCACGGTCATGTGGCCAGCGTGACTAAATGCCGAAGAGCACGAAATGCTGTTACCTTCCCAGCGAAGGGGTACCTATTTATCTACTTGCAATTTCTTGCTTTCGAACTGCTAGGTTGGCAGGAGCTGGGGCAAGAGACGTGAGCTCAGTCCGTCATGTGACACTAGGGTCTCGAACTGCTGAGCTACCGACTTTCCGGTCTGCAGCTCAGTGTCTTATCCTCTGAACCACCCACGGTCTTTCCCCCCTTTACATAAAGAGGGTCCCAATGTTGTAAGGGCAGCTATGCTGGGCTTGCATCTGAGAGTTTTAGGCAGCCTTGAACAAATCAGTTATTTCCTAACCTGCTTCACACAGCTGCTGTGAATTTTTTTTTGGGGGGGAGACGTGTAAACCTCTTTGTATGCTTAAAAGTTCTCCATGAATGACGCATGGAAAATAACTCTACTTTCATTCAAAGGGCGTCAAATGAATTCCTCCAATCATATAAACAACATAGACCTGTATCATCTTCTCATTTGAGAACATTTACCTCTGTAAAAACATAAAGCTGGTCTAACCTAAACAGGTTATTTTTCTTCCCTGCCTGAATGTTGCTCCAACATGTCATTCAAGGTGCTTTGATTCTCTAATTTTGTTTACAATCACTATGGAGTGATTTTTGGTTGTATTTATTTATACAGTTCTTCCTGCACTGTTTTTAGCTGTAATCTGCCTTGAGTCTCAGTGAGAAAGGCAGATCATAAATTAAATAAATCTGGGGTGGGTTTGCAAGACCAGTTTCTACTGTAACCTGCACCCAACCTAAAGAAACTAAGCTTCACAGCCACAATGCTGCAGGCTGCTAACCATCAGAACCTGAGGAGTGCCATCAGCCTCCTTAACTACCCAGGCATAACTGATCCTTTCCAGTTACTCAGAAGAGCAAGTCAGCTGATTATCACATGTTAATATCAAATCAGTGATGACAATGGCACAGACTCTGCTCCCACACAAAAGAACTACAACAACAGAGATAAGCTTCAAGTTACAAGCCAAGCCAAAGCTGCTAAAAGGAAGCTTGCAATGTGACATCATACTCTGAGTCAACACTGCCACTGAGGATCACCAGGGCAGTAACTGTATAATATCAAAAGCCAGCATATCCAGCTATGACAGACTGCACATTTAAAATCTTAGAAGTGTTGTATAAATAGATACAACTGTGAAGAGTTAATTCTTCACAGAAACAGAGAGCCCTGAGTGACAGAGTACTCCAAGGAATCTGATTGGTTAGCACCAGCTGAGCAGAGAAAGACTTGAGAGCTGAATGCTGAGGAGAAATGCTGTCTGATTTCAGCCCTACCTGAGAAGAGTCAAGTACTAATACTTTCTGAATTCGGCCCTGACTGAGAGCAGTTTAACACAGATGGAGTACTGAAGAGGTTTGGCAAGGAAGAGTGGGTAGTTAGATGAATACTCCCATTTGAGCCAAGGAAACGGGATAGACCTTCTAGTGAGAGAAGAATTTCTCTACCCAGTCAAGACAGGGAGATAGTTCTAAAGAGTGGAGAGATCCCTGGTCTGGTGCGGTTAGAGACTGCCTTGTGAAACCAGGTCAGTAAAACTCAAGAAGAGTACTGGTGTCTTTAGAGAAGGAGTTGGGTACTGGATAGAGCACAAGTGTCGAACTCATTTGTTACGAGGGCTGGATCTGACATAAATACTACTTTGTT